CCCGCAGCTTGGGGCGGCAAAAACCCTGGAGCCGGCCCTGCCCTGCAGGGTGGAGGGCAGGAGTGTCCTGCTCAGCCTGTTCCAGGTAAGCACCCTGCAGCGCTGAGAGGCTGTGTCATCAAAGAGCCTGCGCCGTGCACAGGCCGGTGTCAGTGAGCTGCAGGGTCAGGGGACAGAGCCACTGTGCAGAGACCCATGCCGGCAAAGGCTCCATGGTGTACATGGGTTGCACAACCTGTGCCAGCTGGGAGGCCTAGCACAACGGAGACGGTGTGTGATCTCACAGGGCCCTGAGCCAGGTGAGGGCTATGAAGGATTGATGGGCTGAGCAACTCCCCAGAGGCTTGGGCCAAGTGAGAGGCTAGGCAGAAAGGAGGGCCAAGGGAGCTCCCCGAGGCCAGTGGGGGCTGAGTGAGCTCCCAGAGGCTCATGCACTGCATAGCTGATGGGCTGAGCGAGCCCCAGGGGCTGGTGTCCAGGAACCACCCTGCAGTTCCTGGGACCCTTTTTGCAAAGTAGAGACCCTAGGTCACCCCCCTTCCCCCCCACCAGGTTATTTTTATCTACTCCCATGAGCCCCGCTCTCTCTGTGTTCTTAGCTCCCCCATGGCTCCTTTCAGCTCCACTGACCACTTCCTTCTTCTGGCTCTCCCTGATCCCTCTGGGCTTTGCTAGGCCTGTTTCTCTGGCTGCCCTCCCCACAGTGCCTCAGCTCCTGTCACTTGTCCATCTCCCCCACCCTGCATTCCTTCCCTCCAACCCAGTGCTCAGTCCCTCAAGGTCTAGCTCCCTGCTGTGGCCCAACTTCATGGAACCGATTGGGACAACACCAGTGTTCACCTGACCAGGGACAATCCCCACAACCCAAGATGTCTGGGCACAGGGCCCTTTGCCTCTGGTAGATCCATGGGGCTTGGAGGGGCCACCCACCCTATGCCTGATTCATGTGCACTCATTTACAACCATGCAAAGTGGGTGTGAAATGCTCCCCAACCAGAACAGCGCTGTTTTTACACTGCGTTGGGCCCAGGGAATCAAGCCTGCCTCCCTGTCCTCTGAGTGGCATCTTGCCTCCCACAGTCTGGCCTCAATGGGTCTGTCGGCACTGCCATTAGACCCCTGCAGCAGGCCTGTGCCAGCTGACTCACGCTCGTGGGGCTCGAGCTAAGGAGCTATTTACTTGCCCCAAGCCCAAATGTCTACACCACACTCAAACAGCCCCTTGGCCCGAGTCAGCTGGCACGGGCCAGCTGTGGGTATGTAACCGCAGCGTGGGCATATCCAGTGATGGCAAGGTCCAGCTTCCCCCACTTTTATTGCAGCTGGTGGGAAGTGGGAATTAAGGCCTTAGCCAGGCCCCCTCTTCTGGAGGAGCCGGTTCTTCTTACCACTTAATCTGCATCTTTGAATCCCAAGTTCTTGCTACAGAAAGAGCTGGTGGCTAGGTCTGAGATGGGAAAACTCCGTTTGCTGTGTCAGCACCTCTCAGAGTGACCTTCATGAGACACCACCCCCTGTCTTGCACCCAGATCCCACCTCACCCCCACTCCCCAGCCAGACCTGTCATTTCACTTTGATTATTGGGAAATACTGAGGCCAGACAAATGCCATAGAAAATGCTATTTCTGCTACAGAAACGAATCCTGCCGGGTTTCTGGATAATGGGGTCCCACACTGGGAAGCGTCTTGTGTAGGCAGCTTCATTAAATACCTAGCAGGGCTGGCAATGGTCAGACCTGAATGAATTGGCGCAAGCTTCTCCTGTTCTCTGGGAGACATGAGTAAGGTGAGGTGGGGTCCCCAGCCCAGCTGGCTCCTTGTGGAGTCTGGCAGGAAGAAGCATCTCTTCTCTAAGGGCAGGCAGCCCCAATGCTGGCCTGGGCAGCGAAGCACTTGGGGAAAATGCCAAAGTTGCCATTGCAGTGGCCTTCAAGCCATTCCTCATTCACTGGGAAAATACAAAGGAACAGGGTAAGGACCTAGCAATCCCCTGAATTGCCTAACCAGGGAGAGACAAGCCTTGCTAAGGGTGACATTCACCCCTGCGCAAAGGGCCAGTATAGGCCCATGCACATGTCAGTCCCTCATAAGGCCTAGTGGCTTAACTGTCAGGAAGCCTTTTGTTCCCCAACTTGCCCCCCTCTCCCCCCTGCAAACAGACTCCTGAAGCTGCCCAGCAAAGAACTTCAGGCGGAACTAGAAAGCTACCTTCGGAGAGAATGTCCAGCGTGTCTCCTTCATTGAATTCCAGATCCTCTGGCCTTTGCGCCGTGTAACCGTGGTGTGCTACCATCCTGTAGAGAACGGGTCTGTCTGAACAGGCATCTGTGCCCTATGGGACAAGGCCATGTTGTAAACCACACAGCAGAGCAGAAATTAAACCAGAATCTAGTGAGGCAGAACAGCATCCCAAAGGGACCGTACCTGGCACCAGAGTGTCAGCCTCCCATCTGTCACCTCCTGCCACATCTTCCCCATCTCCTCTTCTCCCGAAATCACAATTAACTCTTTGCTGTCTGAAAGCCTGCAGCTGAAGTAAGAGAGGAGGTCAGAGAGAACGTACTAGGGCCAAATTTAGAGGTGAATCTAAGCTTGTGCAACTTGCATCTCCCTCTGATTCCCTAAGCATGTCAGTCCAGGAACTCCAGGGTATGTCTGTGCTGGAGCTGGAGGTGTAATTCCCCGTTCAGACAGACAGACCGGCGCTAGCTGGCCTCGAGCTAGCGTGCTAACAGGAGAAGTGTAGCTGTGGTGCCACAGGCGGGGGGAGGGGCTAGCTGCCCTAAATACGTACCTAGGTTTTCAGATGGGATTGGACACAGAGTGTTTAGGCTGGCGAGCCCATTCTGCTGCTTGTGCCACCACCATGGCTACGCTGCTATTCTTAGCACACTAGCTCAACCAGAGCTAGCGCATATGAAATTACCCCTCCAGCTCCAGTAGACAAAACTTCAGTCTGCTTTAGACTTACACAAGACCTCTAAACTGGCCACACAAAGTGCAACTGAGTTGAACTTGGTGTGCCTTAAATGTTGTGCTGGCTGGGAGAAAATCATTTGTAGGTCAGGGGTGTCTACAATAGCATTTCTCTTTAAATTTCCCCTTCTTTCACTACTGCTGGTGCAGTTCCATACTCCTTTGGTCCTGTGAAACCTCCCTACTCGCACATTCCCTGTCCCCAAGGAGTCAGTGTTACGTTCTAAAGCAATGAGGTGGAATATCCAGGGACAGGGCTCGGTGTGACTATTCAGTTGGGAGAGGGGACACAGCGCTGGTTCGTATGTACTCATCTTGTGAACTGTGGCTATGGCTGCCTGAGCCCTGCTGAAGAACAACATGGACGGTAGACATGGCCTTAATGCCTACCTCCTTGGGCAAACACCTCTTCGGAGAACTGCAATGACTTGTCTGCAATGGCAAGAGGAAAGCTGCAGCTCACCAGGAAGGAGAAACTCCAACTCAGTCTTGGCACCAGCTCAGAGTAGCCAGAGTGCGACCCTATTTCCAGTCTGTGACCAAGCCTACCTCAGCTTTCCAAGCTCTGCCTGCTGGCTGAACGTCTCCCTCAGCAGAGACCTGAGGTCTGACAGGGTCAGGGCCTTGTTCACTTTAACTGTATAGTCACAGTGGACTTTCAGCAGGATGGATCTGTTCTCGCTGGAGGATGCTTTGTCCTGAGCCAGTGGGACCTGCTGCCAAACAGGGAGCAAAGGAGAATCTGCTCTGGATGGGTTGGTTAGAGCGATTTCACCAGCAAATATCTGAATAACAATAATGCCTATTCTTATAACAGCAGAGCTCCAAGCACTTTACAATCTGTTAAAGTATTTATCCTCACAACGTCCTTGTGAGGTAGGGAAATATTATTATCCCCCCTTTACAGCTGGGGTGCCGAGGCACAGATACATGAGGTGACTTACCCAGGAAGTCCCTGGTGGAGCAAGAAACCGAACGCAGATCTCACACATCTCAGCCAGTGCCCCGACCACTAGCCCATCCTTCCATACCCGGAGTCAAGAGTGGGGGCCTAACCCAAATGCCAACTTCAGTGCCACCAAACTCCATGTGGCATAAAATCTGAGCCAGGATCCAGATGTGAATTTCACATATGGGGCCCATTTCTCAAAACCCTGGATCCAAACACTTTCATTTTTCCCCGAGGAAGAGTCTGGATCTGAATCCTATAACTCAGACACATCTACTCAGCACGGGAGTTCTGCTTATGCCAGAGGGGAGACAGGTACTCCCTGTGTTATCATGCAAACATGTCCCTACCGTGATGCTGCCAGGTCCCATAATTTCTTGTGGAAATTTCAGCTGCCACTCCATGCAGCTTGGCACTGCACTGACTCCAAAATCACAGGCAGTCTAGTGGCCGTGCCAAATGAAGTGGGGCTACTGGTGACCTGACCAGCAGCTGCCTCTGACAAAGAAAGGCTCTGTAGGTACAAGTCCCACGTGAGGTAGGAAAAGGATACAGAGGTGATTTCACTGACCCCAGAAATGCACTGCTCTCTGTGATAGAACACAGTGGTTGTTAACAGCACAGAGCAACAGTATGGGCCTGGAAGAGGAAGATCAAGGACTCAGGGGTAACTGACAAAAGTCCATCTGGGAGTTAGGATCTCTCTGGGATGGGGGGAGGGGAAACTGGTCTGGAAGAAAAGGCTTTCCAGTGAGCCCCAAAGTTTTGGGGTGGCTTTGGAGTTTTGGTGGAACTGGGCTGATTCTACCCTTATCTTTGGCACCCGTGATTTTATAGTCCTAATGGTTTGTGATGTTGGGGAACATTGCACCTGCAAGTCTGCTTGCGGATCAGCATCATTTGCAGCAGTGTCTTCTCCTTCAGCAGGTCCTGCAGAGCAAAACATTGCCAAACAGCCATCATGACAATGGGCAGGGCCTCTTTGGAGGAGATGGGGTTGGACAGCTTTGGGGGGTCCCACTGAGCCACATCTGGAGGGACTCCAGGCAGTGTGAGAAGCCACCGATTTTATAGCCTGAGCTGTCCATCCCTCCCCTCTCAGGGACTGGCACATAGAACCCTGCCTGCCCTCGTCACCGTAGTGCCTGGCAACCAGTTCATTTCTCTTTGGACACAGTCCTGGCCCCCAGTCTCTGTTCAGAGCAGAATGAGTGGGCCACAGCAGGGCAAAGTGTGTGCAGTCATCCCTGACACATGGAATCTACCCTGCTACCAGGGTGCTCTTGGGATACACAGTCAGTCCCTGATAGTAACCACATGCTGCAAGTGGGGAGCTAGCCTTGCTGGTATTGTAGGTTCCCTAGAGCAGTGGTGTTTTGGGGGACTGGTGGGTGATCCCACACAACTCCCATTGGGATCCTTATCCTCACATGCCCCTTCAGTCCCAGAAAGCAGGATTTACCTGGCTGCTGGTGGTCCATTTCCTGCAAGTGAGGCCGGTTGGGGGGCACTTTAACGGGGGGAAGAGGGATCCCATTACTGACTTTCTGCAAGAGAACAAAATGAAAACGAACTGATCAGACACATGAGGAGAGTATGGCTGAGGCCAATGTCAAGCAGAACAGTTCTAAGGAACTAGAGTTTTGGGAAATCAGCTCCCTCGTTCCCCATTGGCCAGAAGGAGCAGGTGGCAGCTGGTTTGCGTCACTGAGTAGATTGCAGGCTATGACTTTAAGGGTGGGCAGAGCCTCAGGGATGGCTAATTCATTAACTCACGTATGAAGTGGAGCATTAAGGCTCCTCCAGGCTCCCCCAGAGGGTGGCTACCCACCTGGTACCCATATGAGGTTGTTTTATTTTGCTGCACTGTTCACTTTGTTAACCTCTCTGGGATCCCAACCCCACATTTAGCCTGGGGATGGCCACCTCCCCATCTGACCAAAAATGGAATCTGTCTTGACTGGGATTTCCATGGCTGATCCCTCTGACCCAAGGGCTCATCTGCCCCTCACTCAGCTCCAAAGTTCTGCACTGAACAGACTGGGTGTCTGCACTGAAATGGTTTACAGCAGGGAGCCCTACCAACTCCATAGGATAAATGATAACAGAGTCATAGACTAGCAGGGATGGAAGGGACCTCAGGAGGTCATCTAGTCCAACCCTCTGCTCAAAGCAGGACCAATCCCCAGACAGATTTTTGCCCCGATCCCTAAATGGCCCCCTCAAGAATTGAGCTCACAACCCTGGGTTTAGCAGGCCAATGCTCAAACCACTGAGCTATCCCTCCCCCCAAAGAGCCAGTTTCTCAACCACAGTAGGGCCAATGGAAGTTCATACACTAGCGGCCACTAGTATGTCAGAACCGAAGAGGGCTCTGAAATTCCCTGCTCACTGCAGTGGGCACGTGGGTGTGAGTCACACCTTGTCTGCTGGAGGATTCAAGTGGAGACAGCTTTCAGCCGGGTCAAGCCATTAGAGCAAGGCTGCATTAGTTACAATATGGTGGGTCCTAATTGTGAGGAGGAGGGGGTAAAAGAAATGGATTTTTTCCAAAATGGAAGCTTAGACTTTGCAGGAAACAGATCAGAGCTGTGGAAAAAATCCACCTTTTGCCTGCTGCTTGGATTTCCAATTGTCCCTGGCTGGTTGAAAGCCCTGGACCTACACATGGGGTGAGTCTGAAGAGAGAGCCCACTGCCTTGCTCTGTGGTTCAGAGCCCTGCCACTCACACAGCTCGAGTGGCCTGGCTGTGTTTTCTCTCCCTTCCCCATCCCATAGTCACAAGATTGTCCCCTTACCCACTTATCAGCCTTGGGGGCATAAACAGGCTCCAGGTGAGAGGTCGGTATACGCAGTTTCTGGGAAACACAGAGCAGAACAGAAAACAACGTGAGACCAGGCACACTTGAAACAGACACTCTTCTGCCCGGTGCAGGAGATTCTCTTCGCTGGCCTTGACAACCCCACCTTGCCCCTCAGTCATTCACACCCCTGTGGCATGTGTCATTTCCCGGCACGCAGCTCTGACCAGGTCACTCTGTCTGCTGGCTCACTCTTCTCCATCATCCAGGGCCGGTGCAACCCATTGGGCGACCTAGGCGGTTGCCTAGGGCACTAGCATTTGGGGGACGGCATTTCAGGTCCTTCGGCGGCGGCCGGATCTTCAGCCGCCCCAGTCGTCGTCGGCATTTAGGCGGAGGGAGCTGGGGCAGGACGGTGCGGGGAGGGCCACCTGCCGCAAGTAAGGGGGGGGGGCGGCACGCAAGGGAACCGCTTCCCGCCCCAGCTCACCTCTGCTCCACCTCCTCCCCTGAGCACGCCGCCCCGCTCTGCTTATCTCCCTCCCAGGCTTGCGGCGCCAAACAGCTGATTGGCGCCGCAAGCCTGGGAGGCAGGAGAAGTGTAGCAGCGATGGCGTGCTCGGGGAGGAGGCAGAGCAGAGATGAGCTGGGGCGGGGAGCTGCCGCACGGCTCCCCGGGCCGGGGGGAGCTGCCGCGGGGGGGGGAGGGAGGGCGCCTTAGTGTGAAGAGCTGCCACAGGGCTCGGGGGGGGGGGGGCGCAAGGTGGAAGTTTTGCCTAGGGCGTGAAACATCCTTGCACCCTCCCTGCCATCATCACAAACACAAACTACTTGCCATCGCTTTCAAGGCCCTTCACAGCCTGTCCCCACCTACCCATCATCGCTCAAGGTGTTGAATCCTGCCTGTGAGCCACCAGCCTTCCTCGCCCACTTGTTAACTTTTAAAGAGGCACCTTTGTGCTTCCTCCCATGCTGCCCCTCACACGCAGGAGGAGCTGCCTCCATCTTTCTTCAGTTTCCTCTTTATAACTCTCCTGTGCTGTGATGCCTACCGGAAAACTTGAAAATGGTTAGGCTGCTGGTTGTGCCAAGACCACTGCCTGTCAGACTGACCAGTCTTACCTCACTTTTTCTTTGTGCTCCCCCATCTGTCTTTGGGCCCACCCGTTTTCTCTGCCTTATACTTTGATTGTAAGCTCTCAGGGGCAGGCACTGTCTCTTTATTCTGAGTTAGTACAGGTCAATCCTGGCCCATGACGGGGCTCCTGGCCTCTATTCTAATATAAACAGCAATGTTTACATTGGCCCACTGGGGATTGCACATGGGTGGTGACGCCCACTTGGGGACACAGCAGCAAGAGGGCCACTGAATGAACCCTAGACACATTTTGTGCACTTTATTCTGCAGGAGGCGAGGCTTCACAATTGGTGTGAATTGTGCCCCTGCTAGTGGTTCTCACCGAATGTTTCTAGTTGCATAATCCCCATGCAGGATCCACGTGTGTCAGAAGGGATAAGGATCAGAAAAAGCTGAGGTCTCCAGTTTACTGGCCAGTGGAATTAGAGAGGTGACGGGGAAAAGTCAATGGGATCTGAACAGCCCTGAACAACTCTTAACAGCTGCTGCTATTAGTGTCCAATCCATGAAAGTGAACTGGCAGTTTCAGAGAAGGTATCGTCATATATGGGAGAGGGATAGCTCAGTGATTTGAGCATTGGCCTGCTAAACCCAGGGTTGTGAGTTCAATCCTTGAGAGGGCCACTTAGGGATCTGGGGCAAAAATCAGTACTTGGTCCTGCTAGTGAAGGCAGGGGGCTGGACTCAATGATCTTTCAAGGTCCCTTCCAGTTCTAGGAGATAGGATATCTCTATTAATTTATTTATTTAATTTATATCCCACCCTCTTGGCTGCTCCAGCTCCTGAGAGCTACCAAAGGAACATCCTATTAAAGCCTCAGCAAGCCCCAGCTGGCAGGGAGTGCTGTAGTGTCTACTGACACTGTGCTAGAGGCAGGAGCACCAGCCTGTCAGTTCCACATACCTGTCCGTCACATATGGCGGTAGCCCAGCCGTCTGCCCCTTTAGTTAGTACAAAGATGATCGTGCTGCCCTTCACTGCCATCTCGTCAGAGTCCTCAGGGTAATAATGAGTCACAACTTGATAGTAACCTGAGCCGCGGTCTCTGGAGAAAAAAAAATAATAGCTTTACTCAGCACCCTTTGAGGCTATCACTCTCCCACTGTGGGGTGTGGACACCACTGGGTTTAACAGGATTCCCTTCTCTTTGCTCCTCTGGTTACCCTTCTTGGAGACATTCAGGCTAGGAATGGGCATTGCCATCCTGTGACCTTTCCACTGGCTCTTCTGTCAATGCACTTTGAAACATAAAGAGTGATAGGACATTCACCGCTCCTTAGGTGCCAATGCCCCCTGGAACAATGCCACTCTTCTCTGGGTGGAGTCCCTGCTGCATTCTGCTGGAGGACCTGTCTTTTTACTGGGGTCTAAGGAAAGCCACACCCTTCTACTCTGTCCATCTAGGTACTTACGTGCCTCCATCCCCATAGCATCCAAGCATCTCACAACCATCAAGGACTGTCTCCTTCCCACACCACTGTGCATTAGGAGAGCATTTGCAGATGAGGAACTAAGGCAAAGAGTGATCAAGGGACACATTTTCAGAAGAGCTCAGGGCCAAATTTTCAGAAGAGCTCAGAACCTACAGTTGGGACTGGACTTTCACTGTGGCTCCACTCCCAGTTAGACACCTAAATTTGTCCAGGGTCCAATGACAAGAGGGTTATGGATCCAGTGTCTCACTTCAGAGCTCTAACCACGAGCCCATCCTTCCTCCCACATGGTGATCCTCCCTCACCATATACTCTCAGTTGTGAGCTGAGTAAACTCGAGAATGCTTCTCTTGAGAACATCTCCCCTCATAGGCAGCAGTAGCGTTGGCCTGTGTCTCCATGGTGCAATTACCACATTTATGGTCTATCAGAGATGATAATCCATGAACTTTTGGAGAAGAACATGCCATCAGTGGATGATGGGACAGACTGGTGCAGACAGAGGTTCCCTCTTTTGCCTTCCAGCCATTTCTGAAAATTCCCACAGTTCATTGCAAAGCCCTGCAGCCGTATCACTGTGCTAACTAGTAGAATATAGTACTGAGTCATCCACGGAGCACAGTTTTAACTGTGCGGATCACTTTCTAGTGTGTGAACTGTAGAGCTGGGTGCAACTTCCCTGACGGAGCATTCTTCCATCAGCAAATGCCATTTCATCACAATCAAAACTTTCTGCAGGAATGTGTTGATTTTGACAAATTCTGTTTCACAAAATTTTTGCTTGCAAGTGTTTCCATAAGGTCAATACGATCAGAAAGGAATATTTTGATTTTTTGTTTTGAAATGCCTTTTCATTTAGAAATGTATTTGAGTTTATACTCTATTATAAGTTATAATATAGTGTAAAATAAAAGGTTGGAATCAGAATGAAACATTTCAATTTTATTTAAATGGAACATTCTGACTGACCTGAAACAAACCATTTTGGAAAATTTCATTTCACAAGAAATTTCAATTTTTCATTTTTGTTTAGATTTGGAACAAAAACAATTTCAAAATGTTGGCATTTCCTGCTCAATGAAAATGTCGAGTTTCAACTGGCTCCAGGAATAGGGTTGCCAACCCTCCCGGACGGGCAGGGAGTCTCCCGGAATCAGCCATGATCTCCTGGAGGCTATTGAAATCAATCCGGGAGATTTTAATAGGCTGCTAAAAGTCTGGTTGGTGGCACAGCGAGGCTAAGGCAGCCTCCCTACCTACCTTGGCTCCACATGGCTCCCGGAAGCAATCTGGCTCCTAGACGCAGGGGTGGCCAGTGGGTCTCTGCGCACTGTCCCTGCCCTGAACGCCAACTCCACAGATCCCATTCGCCCGGAACCACGGCCAATGGGCGCTGCGGGGGCGGTGCCTGCAGGCAGGGCAGCGCGCAGAGCCGCCTGGCCACCCCTGAGACTAGGAGCCGGACATGCCAGTCACTTCTGGGAGCCACCTGAGGTAAGCGCCTCCCGGCAGGACCCCACACGTCTCACCCCCTCCCACACCCCAACCCATTGCTCCAGCCCTGAGCTCCCTCCTGCACCCCAAACCCCTCATCTCCAACCCCACCCCGCAACCCCTTGCCCCAGATCTGTGAAAGTGAGTGAGGGTGGGGGAGAGCGAGCGACAGAGGGAGGAGGGTGGGGTGAGCAGGGGGCGGGGCCTCAGAGAAAGGGCGGGGAAGGGGGAAGTGCACAGGTGTTTGGGTTTGTGCAATTAGACAGTTGGCAACCCTATTCATGAACCACCTTCTGGCTTTTCCAGATGAAAACAATGGGCCAAATTCAGCCCTGGAGTATTGGAAGCACAAACCAGGGAAGTCAATGGAGCTGCACCTCCTTAGACCAGGGCTGAATTTGGCCCCAGTTACAGCAGTGCTGATAGGAGCATTTGGAAGCCTTGTCCTGGGGGCTAGAGCCAGGAAACTGAGAGTCAGTAGTTGTGGGTTCTAACAGTGGTGCTGCCACTGACTTACTATGTGGCCTTGAACAGGTCACTTAACCTCTCCCTGTCCCTGTTTCCCAACCTGTGACATGGTATTTAGCTGCCTCACAGGATGGCTGTGAGGCTTAATCAATGTCTGCAAAGGGCTTTGAGATCCTTGCAAGGTGTTATAGAAGTGCCAGGTGTTATTGTTATTAACTACAATGGCTATCACAATCACACAAGTCTTTCACACACACAGCGTTTTCTCCTCAGTGATGGATCTCTGGGACTGGGATACTACAGAGTCTCCAAACCAAAAACTCTGGGGCCAAGACAAGGTGCCATGAAGAGAAATAGTGACAGAAGAGCGAAGCCACCTGGGGTTGGTCACTTACCGCACAGCATTGACACTGGGTTCGTAAAAGCCCTGTCTCTGTGGAGAAACAACAGCGTCTATTTCATAGAGCCAGATTCCACGCCAGAACAGACCATTGTGATCATCTAGGCTGACCTCCTCTATAACACAGGCCAGAGAACTTCCCCACAATGATTTGTAATAGCTTGTATCAGACAGTAATGCAGAGTCTGAGCGAGAGTTTCAGTCTCTGACATTTTCCCTCCTATTCTCCTGTCCACACTTGTCATGCAATCAATCACCACTCTAGGAACAGTCATCAAGGCCACTCCACACTGCTGAGCAGTGTTGGCAGTGGCAGCCCCCTCTTCTCTGCCCACCCCATCCAATGGAGACCAACCTACTTGCGCGTTCCCCTGCTCCTAACATTCACATGACAGGGCACCCCACTGCCATGAAGGGTAGGTCTGTGGTGGTGCTGGGCAAGGGAGTTAAACATTACATAGACTCTGCTGCAGCGGCTTTAATTCAGTGCAGAGAAAAGAACGCTCTGCTCAGGGAGCAGAGACTTATGTGCCTCATCTGAGCCCCTCGGAGGGGTGGAAGGATATCTGCAGTGATATGGCACTTAGAGGGCAGGAATTGCTAGGCAGGAGGAGACGTGTGGGACTCAGAGCCCCAGGGAAACCTCTCAGCTACACTAAAATATTATGCAAAAGGAACAGGAGTACTTGTGGCACCTTAGAGACTAACAAATTTATTTGAGCATAAGCCTACGAAAGCTTATGCTCAAATAAATTTGTTAGTCTCTAAGATGCCACAAGTACTCCGGTTCTTTTTGCGGATACAGACTAACACGGCTGCTACTCTGAAACCTAAAATATTATGGAGTCCGTGACAGGTTCTCATCCTGATGGATGCCTTGGCTGGGGACCCTAAGTGGAGCTATATGACAGCGATGCCATTACATGACCTTGCCATGCATAAATCAAGTATCATCAATTGTTGCACTGTCCCACTCACCTGTGGCCTGAGAGGCTCAAATCCGATGTACTCGTCATTGGGAATGACGGAGGAGATCACCTGCCAGAGGACAGATCAGATCAGACTCTGGATCACATGAAGGAACAGCAAGACCTCTGGGAATCAGCCACTCACCCTGGGTTTCCCATGAGCGAGTCCCTAGCACCAAGTGGCAGGGCTTAACAAAACGTCACTGCACACAATGGAGAGTGCAGAGCTGAGTCCAGGCAGTAACCCCATCTACTCCAGGGGCCTGGTTTTCTAGCTCTTGCCACACTGGTTCCCTACATGTCTGTGGGTGAATCTGAGAGCACAACCATTCATTTGCTCTGCACTCAAGAGGCTCCTGGCCTGTGACACTTACACAAAGGGTGCAGAGGTCAAAGAAATGAGAAGAGAAATCTTCTGATGACCTGCTAATATTCTCCGAAGGGCATTAACCAATTAACAAAAAAGTCATCCCACAACAAGTGGGAATCTGCTACAGCTCAGAGGGTCAAACCCTGTGGGACTGGTTAGGTGAGCCTGCTTGTCTTGAAAGTGTCATTTTTCAGCATAATGACAAAACCAAGGATTCCCTAAGTACCTGATGAGCACTTTCAGAGGCTCACAATCAGCAAAGATACAATGGTATCATCACACAGAGCAGTGTGGAGTCATGCTCTATTTACAGAGGGCCAGATCGTGTCTCTCACTGGGCATTGGCACAGGGCAGGGAAGGAAAGAAGCCCTTTGCTTGTTGCTCATCTGGAAGGTAGCAATGTAGTGGAGGGGGGGGAGGGATAGCTCAGTAGTTTGAGCATTGGCCTGCTAAACCCAGGGTTCCGAGTTTAATCCTTGAGGGGGCCACTTAGGGATCTGGGGCAAAATCAGTACTTGGTCCTGCTAGTGAAGGCAGAGGGCTGGACTCGATGACCTTTCAAGGTCCCTTCCAGTTCTAGGAGATAGGGATAGGTATAGGAGCAGTGGGTGCCAGGCTGCTATTCCCGCTCGTGGGCAGTGAGTGAATGGGCAGGGGTGGGCAGTAGGCATCTCCCTGCAACATGCCGGCCAGTGCAGCTGAGCCAGCTCAAAGGGGGAAGTGTGCTGTGCCAGGAAGAAGGCTAGTGCAGCTGACTTTTCCCCAAGAAGGGAGGGGGAAGCAGGGCCCAAACTGTGGCTGTCTTCACTACAGTGCTAAGGGTGTAACTTGAGTGTTGCCCCAGCCCGACTCCCACCCACACACCCAAATCTCCAATTGGAGCTAAATGGTACTTTAAGTTTGAGAGAGTTGACCTGTCAGGGGGGTGGGCTGAAGCTGGAGTGCTGCTGTTGCAGCGGGTATGCAGCAACTCAAATTACAACAACTCATCAACTGCTAATCCAACCAGGATACGTCTACACTACGGAGACTATCCTGCATAGCTACGTCAGCATAGCCCCATAGTGTAAACGCAGTTTACGCTGACAGAAGAGGTTCTTCTGTCGGTATAGAAACCGTACTCCCCAAACACCGTTAGCTATGTCAACAGAAAAGCTCTTCCTTCAACATAGCTGTGTCTACACAGGGTGTGCTTTTTCATGTCCTTGACCGACATAGTTGTTCAGCATAGACCAAGCCTCATTCTGTGCTGCTAATCCAATCACTCTGTGTAATTTGAGTGTTGTTTTGCAGTGGGGTCACTCTCACTTGCGTGTATTAAATCAAGCTAACTGTTGCAGTGAAGAAAAGCTCCTAGTTACTATTTGGTCCCTGCTCTGCTCCTCAGGAAGTGCAACTATGCACCACCTTCTACTACAGTCAGATGGTAAGGTTCCAAATGACCCATATTTCCTGCAACATCCTTCCACTCACAAACAGTCCTGTAACTTCAGCCACATCAGTTTCCCTGTCTGTAAAATGGACACAATAACCCTCACTTTGCTGGGGGAGAAGGGGAGGGTTACATAACTAATGTTTGTAAAGCACTTTGTGATCTTCAGAAAAAATGTACTACACAAGAGCTGGGTATTTATTTAGTATTTAATTTCAAAATAATTTTCTCCTGGATATAAAAAGCCCAACTACTAAGGAGCACTTTCCTTATGGACAAAAATGCTTCCAACAGAGCCCTGATTATTCCCCTCCACTTGTGAAATTCACCTTGCTCCAGGCAAGGACAGATGGTAGGAAACACTCAAAGCTAGAAAAATGACAGAGGAAAACCTGAAAGACTGGTTCCTAACAATGGAGCCATTGCACTTAGGGTCTAAAGAATCTCAGCTGATATTTTCCAGGCACTGTGGCTGGCAGAGGGCCCAAGCAATGTTACTCTCAGGAGACTGTCGATGCTGTGGCTGGTAGAGGACCCTGGATCTTAGTTTGCTCATTGCTGACCTTAGTCATCAGTGCACCATGCTAACATTCTTACACTAGGATTGACCTTTCTGCAACCTAGGGGGCCTTACCTTGGGTTTACCCAGGAAATCTTTTGAATCCAGCTGCTCAACTTCCTCCTTTCGTGGTCTGAAAAATTCCCCAAGGGGAACATGTATGGGCTCCAGGAAGAGATGATTCTACAGTGAGGGGAAGAGATCAAACCAAGGACACTAGATATCATTAACCACAGCTTAACATTTAAAAGAGAAAAGTAAATACTGCTTCCCCATGGGGTGTGGTCAATCCAGGGAATTCAGTGTGGCAGAAATTATGGATTTGAAAAAGTGTGACCTGGACTTGACCAACATGTAGAGGCTAAGACAGTTCACACTTCTGGGCATAAGCCAATTTCTGGAGATACCAGGGAGGCATGAAGGCAGAGCGTGAAATAAGATTTGCTAAATAAATCTCTAATCTGCTTCTCCTGTTGATCTTCCTTGATTTTATTATTCTCTGTAAATTGTAACTAGAGTCTAGCACTCAGATCCCAATACAAGCAAATAAATGTTTACCAAAGTACAAAGAATGGGATGAAAATAATACTGAAAATAGCATAATGCCATTTTGGGAATCAATGGTGCAGTCTTCTCTGGAATATTATGTTAGCTTCTAGTCACTCTACCTCATACAAGTCATGACAGAAATGAAAGGGGTTCAGGGATGGGTCTTAAAAGTCATTAGCAGCATAGCGAGAGATTTGTACAAGGAGAAAATGAAAACTGGGACTTTTTCCTTTGGAGAGCAGAGGTGTAAGATGAGACATGACAGAGGTATACAAAATAATGACCAGTCTAGAAAAGGTAAATCAGGAGCTCCTGTTCATCCTCTTTGATAATACAAGAACAAGATATGAAATCAAAAAGCAACACAGTTAAAACAAATAAAAGGAAATACAGTGCTTAACTTGTGAATTAATAATTAACCTCTGAGGCTCATTGGGACAAGATATCACTGAGGGTAAGGATTAGCCATTTTTATGGACAATAAGAAGATCCAGAGTTACATTCGACAGAGTTTTTAAAAGCATTTTATAGGGGAGAACATCACTGTGCTTTAGAACAATAGTTCTCAAAGCCGGTCCACCGCTTGTTCAGGGAAAGCCCCTGGCGGGCCGGGTCGGTTTGTTTACCTGACGCGTCCGCAGGTTTGGCCAATCGCGGCTCCCACTGGCCGCGGTTCGCTGTCCCAGGCCAATGGGGGT